CAGGTTTATTGCAAGTGGAAGGAGCCTTGACGCCAGGGTCACAGGCCCTCTCTGCCTCCCTGCTCCCCACCACACACACCCCAGAGGAAATCTGCCTGCAGTGGGGAGAATGAAGACAGAGAGCTGGATGCAGAGATGTCGGGGACATCCAAGCCTGAAGTCCCCAGAGCGTCTCTGCTTCTGTAAATTCTCTATGAGCTCTTATAGTTTCCTTCCAGTAACTCCGCTTCTGTACCATTTTCAATTGGACTTTCATCCGTGGAAACTAGAGGGTTTGAAGACACAGTAGTTTATATTGTCAAGTTAATTGATTTTCAAAAATATTTTTCCCCAGCTTAAAACCCTTCTTGCTCCAACTTACTTTTCCAATCTTATCTCTGTCATATGTTACAGAGATGTCTACTCACTGTCTCCTGAGCATAACTTAAACTTTCCTTTCCTTCTGCAATGTTTTCCCATCCCTTTTCCAGTAGTTGGATGTATACTTATCCATTGTTCAAAATTTACCATAAAGGGCACTCCTCAAATTTTGTGCTTTTCCCTTCTGTGAGCCACGCTCACTCTAGTGTAAGTTCCTAATGCCTACAGGGTGTTTTCCACTCATGTATTTATCTGCCACATTCCATCTTCAGCACTAGGCCTGAAGACAAGAGCTTAATAAATGCTGGCTCCTTAATGTCAATGAAATATGTACAGCCACCAGCTTTTGTATAATATCTATTTCATTCTAACATGCACATTTTTCACAACTTAATATGGGTGATATCAAGATTTATCTTCTAATCATTATCATGCCATGATATAATTAGTAGCATTTTTTTCTTCCTTAGTGACACATAAAATATGGATTCATCTTCCATTTGATTATATCTTACTTTCTGTGAAATAAAGTATCATTGAAGTACTCCTGGTAACAATGGTGTTTGTACCTCTTCTAGCATGAATCATTCCATGTTCTCAATAGTTCCTTAGTTCTATTTTCTACTCCTACTATTATCTTCAGCTCATCTCCTTTAATTTTTACTTTTCTCAAGTAGAGTCAGACTATTATTCCTCAATGAATTGGTGTCAAGTACAATGGTGTTGTTACATCATGATCCTACAAGATTAAAAAAAAAAAACCCTTATTGATTCCAGTTATGTTTGCCATAGACTTTAACTCCAATTAACTATGTAAGCTACCAAAAAATAGTCTTTATTTGTTTTGTGAATAGGCAGCCATGTCAGATGAACCACAATTGAAGAGGACAAATAGACTTACACCAAAGCAATATGATTGTTTAATGACAATGTAATTATCACTCTTTGAGCAGCATTGTGGCCTGAAAGAGAGACTCTAGAGATCAAAGGTTTCTAAACAAACCCAGAAGCCCTGTACCACCCAATTATCTTTGTTTACAATCTTTCATTCCTCATTTATCTGCCAGGCTGAGAAATCCAGTGATTTTAGGAGGCAAATTCATTGAGGGAAGATGTTCGAGGGCTCATTAGCCCTCGAATAATGGGGACGTGCCATTGAGCCCTAGCATTGTGGAAAGAGCTAGCTTCTCACCACCTCTTCCCATAGCCTGGGATTCCACCAAAATGAATGGCTTCTTCCACAGACCGCATTCTCTGCAACTCCAAACTTCCCTGTCCCTTCGTGCCTTTGTGCAGGCTGATGCCTCCCTGTAAAGAGTGCTGTTCACCAGAACTTTCTGCCATTGTAGAAATGTTCTACAGATCTGCACTATCTAACACAGTACCTGTAGCTACTGAGCAGCGCATTTAAAGTGTGAGTGCAATTGAGAAACTGTGTTTTCAATTTTATTTAACTTTAATTAACTTACACATGGCTAGTGATGACCATAAAAGATAGCACAGATCTCGCATGTACCTTGTCACAGTTTTCCCTCTGTAAGTCCCCGACCCTCAAGGGGCAACTCAGGGTCTGCTTTCTTCTCCATGAGATCCGGTCTTCCCAGTGGATTCATTGTTTCCTCCTTGAGAATTCTCATCACACATTAAACCATGAGTACAGCCCTGAAACCTTATTATGGTTTGTATGTGCCCCCTAAAATTTCATATGTTGGAAACTCAATCCCCACATTCATGTGTTAATGGCATTTAGAGGTGAAGAGGATTAGTTGGGGTCATGAAGGAGGATCCCCCCTCCCATGATAGCATAAGTGTGTTTATAAGAAGAGAAGGAGAGATCCAAACCAGCATCCTTGCTGTGTCTTGCCTGTGGTGCCCTCCACCACATCATGATGGGGCACATGGTAGCATAAACCTATAATTTCAGCTACTGGGGTAGGGGGAGTAAGGCAGGAGATGACAAATTCTAGAGGTCAGCCTGAATAATTTAGTAAGACTTATTTTGAGACTGTCTCAACACAAAATAAAAAAGGGGCCGGAGGCATAGCTTAGTGTTACAGCACTTGGTTAGCATATGCAAAGCCCTGGGTTCAACCCCAGAGCACCAATAACAGCAGAAACAGGCTCTCAGCAGAGGCTACCACGTGCTCTGGCCTTCACAGCCTCTAACACCGTGAACCCAATACATTTCTATTCTTTACAAATTACCCAGTCTCAGGTGCTTTGTTTTAACAACGCAACGTGGACTGAGACAAAACTTTTCAACCTACAGCTGTTTACTGTGCCATCCTCTGACAGCTCCCTCTCAGAGCTGTGACTGTGCTTACTCTTAATTGGGATCCCACTATACTGAGTATAGCATTGCTTTAAAAATGTCTGTTGCCTGGATATTCAATAGTAACACACAATTAACATCAACAGTAAGGAACTGACAAGGGTTGTCACACAGTAAAAGATTAATCTTGCCTACAAAAAAGATTTGCACCTTGGCCTAACTCCTGGAGATAACCGCTAAGCCCTTGAAATGTCCTGCCTCATAGAAGGGCCTGGGACACATTAGGTAGTCTATGCCAACCATGTGACTTAAGCTGGCGGCCTAGAGCCCAGGTATCAGCTCAATTTCTGGATGGGCAAGAGACTAAGGACAGCCATTGGGCCATCAGCAGTATCCATGTGACCAAACTCTGGTAAAAACTGTCGACTGTGCTGACCTTGGACATCTCCCTGTTTGGCAGTCCTCTATGAGCTTCATTATAGCTGGGAAAACAAGTGCAATCCACATAGCTCCAATGGCAGAAGACAGTTCAGAGTGTGCACCTGTCTCTCCTGGACCTTCCCTATGTACCACTTCCCTTTTCTGATTTAATAAACTGTAACCATGAGCACAGTGGCTTTTCTGAGTTCTGTAAGTCCTTCCAAAGAATTATTAAAACTTAGGATGACCTTGGGAACATACCAAACTTGCAATGTATGCCATAATGGTACCTGGAGCTAGCCTAGCAGAGAGCTCAGCTCCTGCATCCCACCCCATCACACAGCCTCCGGAAGCCACAGTTCAGATCAGAGATCTGACCAGAGGTGACAGGTCTGGGCCTCAACGTTGTCAAGAGACTGGTGAAGCAAGCGACTGAGACCAGGTTTATACAGAGAGTATGTAAGGGAACAGAGGAAATGGGTGCAGGACCAACCCTGAGGAAGGAACAAAGAAACAGGATGTGTAGGAAAACCCGTGGTCGGTCATGCTGAGGGAGTGAGAGGATCAGGTCGCTACAGGCCCCTGAATTGAAGCTCCTGGAGGTTCTGGTACTCATGTGTATCCCAGTCCTCAGGAACTAAGCCAAGCCCTAGGGAGTCAGGAGCTGTGGAGCAGAGGTCCTAGGCCAGAGCTTACTTGATTTAAGACAGGGTTATCTCCTCTCTTTTGCTGACCATTTTTCTACTTTTGACCAAACAGCCGGGCCCTGACAGTAAGCTGGTAGGAGCAGGGAGTAAGAGAACACAGCAATGGTCTTCAGTGAACAAGAAACCCAAGGTGGGCAGTCTCTCCTACTCCCCAAGAATGGCCTTCTGACCCCAAGTGCTGAGCTCTAGAGAAAGAGCCCCTCATTACAGCGATATCCTTCACCACCTAAAATTCTAATTAGAGATTCACTTGTGTTATCTAGCAATCTCTTACAACAGGGTGCAGAGAAATAGCCATTCACAACTTAGTGCAGATTCAGTACATCAGATTGCCATCCTGAGCTTAGCTGCATTAAAGGAAGATCACTAGCTTGTAGAAGTAAGGCCCCCACACTATGGGTAGGATCCTGGGGTGAGGACTGGATTTGGACACAAAGGTGATGATGGTGATGATTGACGGTGCTCTGCTGGAAGGAAGGGGAGGAGTCCAGGAACAGATAGGATGGTATCTGAAACAGATTTCCACAGCAGACCCATGTCCCCTTCTCCCCAACACCAAGCTGTACTCTCTCCAACTCTCCAGTCCTTATCCTGCCAGCCCTAGGCTTGTCCCACATGAAGATTCCAGGACAGAAGCTGTGAGCTGGGTTTATGAGGGCCCACGAGAAACTAGAGCAAAAGCACTGGTAAATAGAATAGGCCTAGGGGTGAGTGGGCTTGAGGGAGGGAGAGGAAATATAGAGATTCATTATGATGTGTGTAAAATGAGCACAGCTTCAAGATGTTCTCTAAGAACATCTTATTCATCTCCACAGTTCCTGACACAAGGAATGGTTGAATGGAGGGATGGATGGATAAATTTATTTCCTCTAATTTATAAAATGATGTAGGTTGTCAGATTCATGTAGGCCAAATTATTTCCTGTCTAGGATCTGAGATTTTTTCCTTCCCAGATAGGCACTTCTGTTCCTGATTTCCTGCTCCTACCCAAAAAGTCCCTATACTTGACCTTCATTTCCCCTTCCTCTCCAAAACTGAATTCTAGGCTTCATGGGTGTCTCAGAACATCTGGGAGGCATTTGAGCCTTTTTTTTTTTTAATAGGAGGGGAGTTCTAAACAAGTTCACACACAAGAACAGAAGAAGACAGTTATATTAAGAGAGATGCAAAGTATGACACAGACCACAGAACGAACAAGAAGCAAACCATGAGGTTGGGGGTGAGAGCAGCTGGAGGCCCCTGGACTCCTCAGAGAGTGGAGTGCTGTCCACGTGATCCAGGAGCTGCTGCTGTGTGTGTGGCATGGGGAGCGTGGGCAGCAGGTCCTTGTGTCCACCAATAACTATCCATGCCCTTTCCTAGGCATAGCCTTGGAGCCCCTAGGAAAACACTGACCAATAAATTAAGTTGAAAAATATGTAGGAAGCAGGGAATATCAGCCGGGAGTACTTGTCGATGGTGTGGGTGTTCTGGAAGATTCGGAGCCCCATCTGACCCTTGAGAAGCCCCTTCTTCCTGGAGGAGTTGGACTCAGTGCCCAGGGCCAGGTGGACCACAATTTTGTCTTGTCTTTCTTCTTCTGGCAGAATATGGCTTCTCGGGTACCCAGCCAGGCTGTTGGCCTCAGACTCACTGCAGCTTCCATCCAGCATCATGGTTCTTGAATGAAGCATCCCACACATGCAAGGAAACTACAGGCAGCAAACACAAAAGGCTCAGTGAGGCCTTGTGAGACAGGCAGAGGAGAGCCAAGCTTCATTGCTACTGAGAAGCAAAGAAGGATCTCCAGAGAGCATTGAGCCTGTGATTGTCTACCCTGGTTGCATGTCACAATCAGCAGGGCCACACCCAGGTTCCACTCTAGACTCCCTGAGTCTAAGACTCCCAGGTAAGTCTACCATGCAGCCAGAATTAAGAACCACTACATAAATGGGCAAAAACTGAGACCTAGACAGCTACGCAGTTTTCCTGAGACACACAGCTAGAGCTGGAGTCAGAGGCAAGAATTGAGGGCAGGGGGTTGTTTTGTTTGAGACAGGGTCTTGTTATGTAGGCTTGCCTTGAATTCTCCAGTTTCCTGCCTCTGCCTCCCAAGTGCTAGGATTATAGAAATGCACCACCAGGCCCAGTGGTGCATTAAATTCCAGAGGCAGGAATTTAAGTCCCTACATTCTGATTCCAGTGTATAGCTCTACTTCTTTGTGCATGAATCAAAAGATAATAATTCGAAATGGCTGGGGATGTAGCTCAGAAGTAGAACACGTGCCTCTCCCATGTATGGGACTCCGGGTTCAAACCCCACCACTGCCAAAAAAAAAGAGAGAAGAGTGTCTTTATTACAAAGCGTTGCATTTAAGAGTAAGGGTCATGCCAGGCAATGGTGGCTCATGCCTGTAATCCTAGCTACTCAGAAGGCAGAGAACAGGAGGATCAAAGTTCGAAGCCAGCCCAGGCAAATAGTTCATGAAACCCTATCTCAAAAAAAAACATCACAAAAAAAGGGTTGGTGGAATGGCTTATGGTGTAGGTCCTGAATTCAAAACCCTAGTAACGTGAAAAAAAAAAAGTAAGGGTCATAGTACCTATAATGTATTTTTGAGTAGCTCAATTACACCAACAAAAATATGTTTATTTGGGAAAAGAGCACGCACAAACATGGCATAACATTGGATCTGGGTGTACAGTCTATGGATGTATAGTACCCTATTCTTCAATTATTTCTGCAAGTATGAAAATGTTTATAAGAGCCGGGTGTGGTGGCCCATACCTGTAATCTTAGCAACTTGGAAGGTAGAGATTTGGAGGACAAAACAGTTCAAAGCCAGCCTGGGAAAAAAAATTTCCAGACCTCCATCCCAACTAATGGCTGGGCGTAGCTGTGACCATGTACCATCCCAGCTACGCAGGAAACATAAGTAGGAAGATCGCAGTCCAGGCCTGCCTGGGCATAAATGTGAGGCCCTGTCTCAAAAATAACCAAATCACAAATTGCTAGGGGGGACATGGCTCAAGTGTAGAGTATCTGCTTAGCAAGCACAAAGCCCCGAGTTCAAACCCCAATACCACCAAAAGAAAAAAAAGAGGTTTTAAGAAATTCTAAGTTGGAGAGGAAGAGATAGTTCCTCTTGACTTCTCCCCACAGTTGTAGTCAGTGGGGGTGGGGCTCCCAGTGGGCACCTAGACTGGTTGGTGTTGACTGAGCATGAAGCCTGCAGGGTATAGCCATTTGGCCATGGCTCATTCTTCTCAGCCTTTTAACTTTAATATGTTTCTGAACTGGCTCTCCCCCGTCTGGTGACTCTGGTTTTACTATCTGGGAGCGTGAAATCATGACATTTCACAACCTGCTTGCTATTGGTGTGGGTCTTGAAATACTCAGATAAACGCCAGGAAGCTTTCAAAGGCAAAAATGACCTGATGCAAAATCAGAATTCTTCCATTGCAGAAATTATTTGTGATTAATCAGGTATCATGATTTCATTATTATTTCTAAACATTGTCCCATCAGTAACAGTAATTCTGTAACACTTCTGAACAGTGAACAAGACTCAGAAATGTAGGGGAAAATGGTTAGGAAGAGGTCATCTGTTTAAGTTTAATCACACTTAGGTTTATCCACCCAAGCTTTGATGAAATTGTGAGGTACTGGCTTTGGGAGTTACTTGCTTATTTAATAAAGGCACAGGTCTTCTTTTCTTTGCTCTATACTGAAATTTGTTCTGTTAAAATGAAAATAGACTTTTTGCCTAAGGTTTGGAGTTAGAATGAAGAAATACCAAAACTTATGATAAATTTCCATAGCTGCTTGTTCTGAAGGAAGGGTGATCGGCTCCTGAGGTGTTAGACAGGTCTGGAAAAGCAGTCTGATCACCCTATTGGGCAGCTGACAGGAGGCCCAGTCTGTGCCTTCACAGTGCTTATCCCCCACTGGAAGCAGGGGTGCCTGTCACATCAGGTCTGCTTGTTGGAATTGCCAGTTCCGCGATACCATCCCCAGAAATTCTGAATCACTAGGTCTTGGGGCTTACCCTTGGAATCTATTTATTTTGCAGTGCCAGGGATGGAACCCAGTGCCTCTCTCATACTGTAGGCGTTCACTCTACCCTCAGCCTGAATCTTTATTTTTAACAGACTGGAGGTGACTACAGGGCAGTTCTGCCTGGCTACCACTCTGGGAGCCTGGTCATCTCTGGGAGCCAGTTTAATATCATGAAGAGTGGTTCTCTGTCAGGCAGCAGGAGGGAGATTTTGTCTTCCCACCACTCTGTGCCCTTCCTGCCTTTCAATCACATGCTTGCCCACAGTGGAGTCCATGGAGACAGCCTTAAGGGCCAAGCAGCCTTTCCTCAAGGGATTTCCTTGTTATTCTTTAAACTGTTTTATAATCCCTGGCAGAGACCAGGGCTCATAGTATGGTAATTTTTTAAATTCTTTTTGTTTGTTTTTTATTTTCTTGCAGTGCTGCGGGCCAAACCCAGCACTTCCTGAGTGCTAAGCAGATACTCAACACATCCTCCGCCCTGTGGTAACATTTTAATGAACTGCCCGAATGCAAGGTATGTGCAGTTAATGGTCGTGGCACCGAAAATTTCCACTTGCATTGTACCTCAGCGTGCAATGTGGTACAGTGTAGCATAGATGGCGCAGTGTCACCAGTGACCCTAAACGTTAGAATACTTAGTCTTGGTGTTTAATGTGGCTGAATTCTCCCTGTGCTAGAGCAGCAATCTGTTCTAGAACTCTCACCTCCTCTAAACACAGGACAAGGACAAATTTTCCTTCAACGTGTTCAATAATAATAGTGATCCCTTCTGTCTGCCTAGAACCCTAGGGTTTCAGAACAACTCTCACCCACACATCTCAGGGGTCTCATACCCACCCTGGGAGGAGGGTGGATCAGGAACTCTGAAATCCCTTTTTCACAGATGAGGAAAGTGAAGCCCAACGTCCGTGGCAGAGTTGGGTCTAAACCTGTCTTCCTGTTTCCTAATCTTTGTCCAAAGACTGTCTGCCTTCTGGGATAGTCTGTGGTAGAGACTAGAACTCGTTTTCAAACAGGGTGGCCCTCCTTTGCCATAACTGTCTCTCCATTTGCTGCGTGCATCACCCCTGTACCTCCCCTGCCCAATGGCCCTCATTCACATCCAACTGGTAGCACTGGCTGAGAGGAGGAAATGAACAAAATCTCCACTGCCACAGCCCCAGAACGAGAACAGGCTGCGTCGGGCCCAGGCTCCTCACACCACGGTTCAGTCACCTTCTCCCGCAGCTTCCGCCCCTTCCGCTCCTGCACCGTGGTCAGGTAGTTAACGGCCGCGTACTCCAGCACTGAGAGGAACACGAACACGAAGCTGACCCAGAGGTAGATGTCCACGGCCTTGATGTAGGACACGCGGGGCATGGACGCGTTCACGCCCGTGATGATGGTGGACATGGTCAGCACTGTCGTGATGCCTGCAAAACCCAGTCTTAGTTCTACTGCTGACCGCGACCCAAGCTGGTCAGCATCTCCCAGTCACAATTGCACTTCCCCAGACATGTTTCCATCCTGATACCTGGTAGAGGTGTCAGGATCTGCTACCCCAGGATCTAGGCCTGTCTCCCCCAATACCCACTCTCTTCCACTATAGCCTCCCACCCCTCATTAGCTGGCCACCTGGGAAACAGGGTTTCTGTAATGTGGCTGACAAAGTTAAGAATACTTCAGAAAGAACTGATTCTGATATGAAATGAAAAACAATGACTCAACCGGGTGCAGTGGCTCATGCCTGCAAATCCTAGTTACTTAGCAGGTGGAGACTGGGAGGATTGAGGTTCAAGACCAGCCAGGACAAAAAGTTCTCAAGACCCCATCTCAGCCAATGGCTGGATGTGGTGCACACTTGTCACCCCAGCTACAAGGGGAAGCACAAATAGGAGGTTTGTAGTCCAGGCTGTCCTGGCATAAAGGGAGACCATATTTTGAAAATAACCAACTCCAAAAGGGGTGATGGAGTGGCTCAAGTGGTAGAGTACCTGCCTAGCAAGCACAAGGGACCTGAATTCAAATGCCAAGATTGACAAACAAAAGCCAGTGACCCAAGGACATCTCTGAAGGAACATTCCCAAACTTCAAGGAATAAGCATATTGTCCCTTGTTTAAGACACATTTTTCAAGCCCATGAAGACTATAGAAAGTCATGGAAGTGTACCATGCTAATATCTTCTCCACTGTGCCTTGCTGGTTAAAAAAAAAGGCTGATTTTGTCCAAATCATAATGATGGGTTGTAAGTTCTTAGGAATTCAGGGTCTGAGAGGAACTAAAACCACAGTTCTGGGAGGTACAGCCTTCCCTTCCCGAAATCACGTGCTGTGGGCCCTGCCTTAAAACCCTCAGGCTGTCTAAACACAGCCAGCAAATGAAGTTTTGGTATTTACAGATAAATTTTTGGCTCTTGCAGAATCTTCTTGTTTATCTAAGTACTGAGCTCTAATATCGCCAGTTATGGAAGGCTTTATCCTGAACAGGCTATATCTTTCTGATTTGATGCAATCCAAGTGGGTGTTGTTTTAGGTCTCCATGGTTTACATAGTGTGGTGGGGGAAAATGAGTTTTCATATGAATGGTGCAAACAAGAGGCAGGCAGGAAAAGTGCTCTTTCTGACTCTACAGCCCATCAGTTAGGACTGAAGAATGACTGTACTTCTCCTTTACCTAGTGATCAATTGAAAAAAAAAAAAATAACCACCCTGCCATATCTTATCAAATGCATTTACCCAGTGAAATTCTGGCAGGCACAGCTCTGTGGTCGATCCAGAAGGACACCCAGGACAGCATGACCATCAGGGTGGCAGGGAAATAGGTTTGGAGCAAGAAGAAGAAGATGTGGCGATGCAGAGTGAAATTAATGTAGAGACGATTGTACCAGCCTGGGGACACAGGAAAAAGTCAGTTTGGTTCCGTGTGGGAGGTGTGAATGGACCCCTTCCTGGGGAGCCCTTCTTCCCTGATGTGCTTCTCACCAACAGCAGAAAGTTAACACCTTTCTTTTCTAAAATCTAGGCCCTCTCTCCCACAAATAAGTATCTGTCACTAATCTATTTACTGTCTTGTGGGGAAAGGTAGAACAAAACAGGTCTAGATTTAGTTTTGTTGGAATTTTTTATTTGCAAACTACCACCCCTGTTTACTGAGTGACTACCAGCTGATCAGAAGCAGAAGAGGTTGGAGTGATTCTATTTTGTTGAGGTCAATACCACTGAGACAGGAATCAGGAGAGCTGAACTCTTGTTCCTGTCTTTTGTATTATGAGGTTGGTCACTCACTCTATCTCCACACCATCACAAGGAGGAACAGGCTGTTCACATGATTCTAATGTCTGACCTAAGTTCTATTCTTGACACTCCATCCTCCTTCTGGAAAACTTCTACCATTTGGTCTTTGCTCAGAAAAAATGGTAATATAGGTCTATTTCGTTGTGGCAATTTGAGAATCACTGATTATTGGTTAGAAAAAGGGACTGGAATGACAAGGTTTCAAATGAACCACCAGATCATTACACAACCACTGGGACCCAAGATGGCGCCAAGGACAACGTGAGCGTGTGAAGCGAATCAAAGCTATGTGCACACCCCACGCCTCCCATCTCAACTCAGCCTGATCAGAGAACATGAGAACTAACAGGTGGTCCCAAAGCACGAAGTACACCGATGGCAGTGCAATAAGATGACTTCAGGGGTAGGAAATAGGCTTTGTGTGTGTGTTCATTACATTTATTATTAAAATCATCTTCTACTTATGGCAATTGACACCAATTTTCTATTGGTCATAGCGATGCAAATTTTCTTGTTTTAGTAAAAATAACAGTAAAGTTTATTAGGAGAGGAATAAGGAAGAGAAAAGAAAAAAAAAAAAAGAGAGAAGCATTTCCTGTTCCCCGTGCAGGAAATGGGAGCAAAGAATGTAAACTTCCTTTTCAAAATAAAATCAATTAAGTTGATGACCACATGGTGCTGTATTAATAAAACAAACACGCAGGGGCGTTGTGCAAGTAACTGAAGCTGGGGAAGCCAGATTGAGTTTCTCTTGTTTGGGACACAAGGAAAAGAGTTGCAGATGAGCTTGGATCACCTGAGCTTTCTGATCTCCAGGCCGCTGGTAGGGTGGCTCAAGTGGTAGCACGCCTGCCTAACAAGAGTGAGTCCCTGAGTTCAAACCCCAGTATCACACACACACACACACAAAACCCTCTTTTTTGTTGTTTGGGGCCTTGCACTTGCTAGGCAGGTACTCTACCCCTTGCCTACCCCAAACCTGAGAAACTCTTGATGATTTTGTTGCTTTGAGGTTGGTAAGAATAGATGAGAAAAGAAAGTCGTGTTGCACACATAAGAAGGAGGAGAGATGGATGGAGATGATGTGAGCAGAAGACAATGCAAGTTGGGGCTCGCTCTTCTCCAGCATTTGATGATACGGACAGAGCGGTGTGGGTGGGGCAGGTGAACCGGCCGTGCCAGCAGGGCAGGAGCAGGAGGTAGTATCAACAGCCTTCCCACTAAAGGGCGTGGGTTTCTCGGCACTGGCATGCAGGACAATGAAAGAAGAAACATATTAGGGTCCCATACCCACTGTAGAGCTGCTATGAGTTGAATTGTGTCCCCTAAGAAGGTATGTGGCCGTGCTAACTCCCAATACCTGTAAATGTGACCTTATTTGGAAACAGGGTCTTTGCAGATATAATAAAAAAAAAGTGAGGTCGTACTGGATTAGGGTAACCCTGATGTCTCAATGACTGATGTCCTGATGGAAGGGAAACTTAGACTGGACACAGGGAGAACACCACGTGGGACACACAGACACAAGGAATGCATGTGATGGCAGACTGCAGTGATGCAGCTGAGAGTCACAGAACACCAACCAGCAGAGGCTGAAACGAGGTGGGAAGGGCTCCTCCCTGGGGTCTTCAGAGGAGCAGGCCTTGGACCTCTGACCTCCAGAATTGTGAGAATAAATTTCTGCTTTAAGCACCCAGTCTGCAGTACTTTGTTACAGCAGTCCTGAAAACTGACTCCACAAGTTAAAGGTAAGATTTGAGAAGGGTTGACAAATGAATCCTCACCAAACTTCCAACATGGCCCAGGATCCAAGAAGAGATTCAACTAAGCACTAAAAAAAGGAAATCTACTGGGACTGGGGGTAGAGCACAAAGCTAGCATGTGCAAGATTATGAGTTCTATCCTCAGCACCAAAAAAAAAAGACCTAAAACAAAACAAGAAAACCCAAGCAATCCATAGTCTCAATATAGATAATAAATACCTGTTAAGCAGAGCAAATCAGGTTATGGAATAGTATGCAGCCAGGCATGGTGGTGCACACCTATAACCCCTGCTACTCAGGAGGCAAGGTGGGAGGGTCTCTAGTTCAAGGCCAATGGGAGCAAAGTTACTGAGACCCTATCTCAGAAACAAAACACAAACAAGAGGCCCTGGGTTCAATCTCCAGTACTAAAAAAAAAATAGTATATGAAATATGACCCCATTCTTGTACAATTGCAAAGTTTTTAAAGCAGGAAGTCTTGAAGAGTGCTTATTAAATTGTCACCACTGGAGGTGAGAATCAGGGGATAGCAACTTTTAAACTCTCTAACTCTGCTTCAAAGCACTGTTTATATATTGGGACTATGCATTATTTTAATAATCAAAATTTATTTTCATCGGGCATAGAAAACCCAATGAAGAATTCTAATGTGTTTTCTTCTACATCTGAGTCTGACAGAGGCAAAAGTTAGCTACCAGTGCTGCTGTAGAAGGCCAGTCTGGAAGTCGTGTGGAATTTCTGAATCAGAAACTGAGACAAGGAAATCTTCTCATCTGTTTTCAGAGATTCGTCCCCGTTCTTCCAATACAGCATTAGGTCTTCATCTGTATACGCATCTTTGGGAAGAGGAAAATAGAATGAAGCTGACTACTCTGCTTCTGATGCCCATGAAGCCACAAGGAAATCCCACACCAGAGAAACAGGTCCTGACACCGGCAGGCAGCATCGGTCAGAGAGGGAAGGAGTGGAAGGAATTACAGACACGATACTTACAGCTCTCCAGCTCCAAAGAGCAGGTCTGAGAGTCCAGGGGAAAGTGGCTGAAGTCCATGTTGCACATGGCTGTCACTGTGATCCTACACAATCCAAATACACATGTTGGCTTGGCCATGTCATCGGCACCTGCACCTGCCCAGAGTAAGGGAGACACAGCATACAGCCTAGGGCAGCTGCCTCCTCATGCCTACTTCACAAGCGGGAAACATAGGTAAACAAGTCACAGAACCTTCTAGAGTTTTGTCTTCTGTGCTGAATCCCCTTTACAGCTATTGGGGAGAGTTGACTGCTAATGGCTCACCCCTGCATCCTTCTCTGGGGACCGCCCTCAGTCAACAGGGCCACCTGCCCTGGAGATGCCCGGGGGATACCCACACCCATCCTCCACCCAAGGTCAGGAAGTGTCTGTTTTAGCATTTAATTCTGGTGAACTCTACAGGATGTTGAATAAGCCTGCTAAAACACTCAAGCCTGCCCAGAAGCCAGTATGCAATGGCACTCAGTAAATAGTAGCTATTGCTAGCATTTTTATATCTTTATTACCAATTAACTAGAATCATAGACTCTCAGGGATGGAAGATACATAGACATTCGTTATCTCCATCTACTCATTCAGGCCAAAGTGGTCTCACCCCAGTGATAAAGAAGTCACCATTTACTGGGGCAGTCCTTTCATCTTTAGCCAATTCTGAAGGCTCATGCCATCCCAAGACCCAACCACAGTGACGAACTCTTTAGGGCCAAAGGGACCAACTATCCATACTGGGATGACACTCGACGAAGTTACCTCATGCTGTACAGCACATGCCCATCTGGGAACACCCTCAGCATGATGTTGTCGGTGGTGGTATCATGAATGAATGACCTTTTGGAGTGAACAAAGAAGACGTCGGGGACCCAGATCTTCTTCACCAGCCGGCCATCAAAAGTCATGCTTTTGTTGCTGGTGCTGGGGAAAGCCAGCCTTTCGTCCTTCCAGTAATGCCGCAGGTACAGGGTCATGGTGAAGTCCTGTGGGAGCCACGGGTAAGACCACACAGAAATGAGTTAGAAAGCGTCCTTCCTTACAACGGACCATCCTCCATTGCATTAGAGACCCCAGGCTCAGCCTCCAGAGTTGGAGATGACAGCTCCACAGCCCTGGGCACATGATCAATGTGATGGCAGTGAGGTTGGTGTCAGGAGACAGAGCAGCCTGCCCTCCAGGCTTTGTAAGTGACAAGTGATGCCATCAGCCTGGTCCACTGGCCAGCAGGGCAGGGTTTTCCCCAAAGCCCTGCTCTCTCTCATTAGACTCTGTGCACACGGTTCCTCACATATCTGCCTAACCATTCAATTTCAGCTTAGTGGCAAGTCCCAAAATCCTGGGACTGTCAAGTGCCCCTCTCAGGAACATTTCTACCGTTAGACTTGTAAGATCCTTGAAAACAGAAATGTATTGTGCCCACCCTGAATTCCCAGTTACTGGAGAGAGTTGACTGCTAATGGCTAGCCCCTGCATCCTTCTTTGGGCACTGCCTTCAGTCAACAGGGCCACCTGCCCTGGAGATGCCCAGGGGGATCCCACCCCCATCCTCCACCCATTCACCATGAAATGTAATGCCTGGCAAGGCACATGGTAGGTTTTAACAAATATTTGCTAGCTGAGGGCTGGAGGGGGCATAGCTCAGTGGTAGAGAGCTTGCCTAACATGTGCTTTCAAACTGAAAGGGCATATACAGACTGGGAAGAGGTGGGGTTGGGCATAGAGGGGGGCGCTGCAGGACCGTCAGGAGGTGTATGCCTGTGGTGATAGAGCAGAAATGGAGGGGAGGCCCCTGCCATGGAGCAGGTAGGGGAGGTGTGCTCACAACAGGAATTGAAAATCAAAGAAGGGGCTGGCAGAGTGGCTAAACTGGTAGATCGCCTGCTTAGCAAGTATAAGGGCCTGAGTTCAAACCCCAGTAACACCATCAGAAAGAAAGAAAGAAAGAAAGAAAGAAAGAAAGAAAAAGAAAGAAAGAAAGAAAGAAAGAAAAGAAAGAAAGAAAAAGAAAAAGAAAGAAAGAAAGAAGAAAGAAAGAAAGAAAGAAAGAAAGAAAAAGAAAGAAAGAAAAAAAGAAAGAGAGAGAGAAAGAGAATCAAAGAGCTGCAGAATTTCCGTCAAAATGTCCACCTCTGGCACTTCTCCAAGCATGGCTTATCTGACTACATGCATCACTTGAGACGTGCTTTCAAATTGCAAAGTCCTGACCTCATTCCCAGAAACTCTGACGTCAGAGTGTGTGAGTGGGGCCCGGGAACCTGCATCTAACCAATTCTTCAAGCTATTTTTTACCCAGGAAGCTTGAGAATGCCACTCCAGAGTCAACTTCCAAATCCCCATCTTGTGGCCTCCAGCTCCCACTCTGCCCCCGACAGCCTGCACCACCAAGGCCCGCATGGCTACAGGCATTCAGCCACGTGGTCCCTCCCTGAGGCTGCCAGCCCCGGGGGGCGTGATGCATACCATGTCCACCTCAGAGATGCTGTCCAGACTCTCCACTTGCACGTCCACACCCACCGGGATGGCAGGGCCTGCGGGAGAGCAAAGATAGTTGGGTAAGGCGCATAGCTGTGCACTGCAGGGCCGGGAGGCGGAGATGTCCCCAACACCTTCCCAGGGCAGCCAGCACTGCAGCAGGCGTGAGGCGGTGGCTCAGATTTCTGTGCTGGACTGTATTCCAGCTAGTTCCTGATGTGTGGGGTACCTGGCCTTTATCACTGAGGTCAAGGACTGGGTCATGGTGGATATTTCATCCATGCTGGATGACTACTTTTTATATCCCAGAACTGCCTTGTCCTCCTGTGACATCCAGAAAGGACAGAAGGACCCAAGATTGGTTCATCGGCCTGCCAGGGACTGGATTTGTTTAATCGTTCTACCCAAGGCTGTGGCTGGGGTACTGTCCTCTCACATCTGTCATGAGACAAGAACTCTGTGCAGAGTCAGGTCACAGTGAAAGACAACACTGCAAGATTGGAAAGCTGTTCAGGGCATGTCAGATGCGACTATGTACCACAGAAGCTAGCATGCTTTCATCTGACTTGTAGCAAAATTTCTAAATCGGTGTTTATCTGTGGGATCCTGTCGCTGTCCTAGAGCTGGATGATGGCTTCATGGACAAGTTCACTTTGTCAATAAACTTGGAGTTTATACAGTTTTCTGTATACATGCTGTGCATCGGTGTAACATTTTTTAGAATTTAATATTAATGATGCTGACATGGTGGCACATGCGTGTAATCCCAGCACTCAGGAGGTTGAGGCAGGAAGATTACAAGTTCAAGCCCAGATATACACTGTCTCAAAATAAAAATTAATTTTTTAATAAAAAGGAAATAGATTTTAATTTTTAAAAATTGTAGAAAGGAAAAAAACCCAAAAATGTGTCTGTCAAGCATGTTAAGTTACCGTTACTATCATCAGCCAAAACATGGTTTCTGGAGTCAGGTGGAGGCCGGGCTGCGCCTTCCGGGAAGAGGCCTTCTGGGCCTTCTGGGTAGTGGTCAGCCAGCAGCACCTGGACCATGAAGCCCTGACCAGGAAGTGCAGCACCAGGACAGTCCAGCCAGCTGAGATCTGAGCAGGACAGCCTTAGGGGACAGGGCGAGTCTGGGGCATAGGGAATGAGAAGACCTGGGGGAACAGAGACTTTGACTGAGGCAGGAAGGAGGGTCAGAGGCCCTGACAAGGAGTAAGTAGGAACTAGAAGTTTCAGTCTGTTACTCTGGGATTCAGAGAATTTTTTTGTGTGTGTACGTGTGCTCTTAAACACAAAAACAAATGAGTGCGATTGCTTTATTTTGTTTTATTTATTTTTGGTGATAGTGGGTTTGCACTCAGGGCCTCATGCTTGCTAGGAAGACACTCTACCCCTGAGCCAAGCCCTCAGCTCTTTTTCCTTTCATTATTTTGGGAATAGGATCTCACATTTATGCCCAACCTGGCCTGACCATAATTCTACTTACACTTCTCACACAGCTGGAATGACAGGTGCCTGCTACCATGCCCAGCGTCTGGTTGAGATGGGGCCTCATTAAGTTTTTGCCTGGGCTGCCCTGGAACAGACATCCTCCCAATCTCAGCCTCTTGAGTAGCTGGGATTACAAGCATGAGCCACGTCGTCACCTAGCCTCTTTAGTTTTTCTTTTTTTGTTTCAGATAAGGCAGGGTGTAAATAGATCTTTCTAGTGCCCCGTGTTCCTCAATTGCTATCTTAGGTCAGGGCCCATGAGAAATTCCTGCTTTCTTCTTACTCCAGGCCCCAAGGGGGCTTTGAAGGTTCTGGAAGTGAATTGGTCAGTGAGGGAGGAGCCCCTTCTCAGGGCCAACTAGCAAGCTCCCTGTCCCCCAGGAGCTTGCAATTCAAGGACTGGTCTGCAGGCAACTTGGCCTGGACCCCTTCCCAGCACCCAGACTTCCACATACACTGTGCTGTGGGTCCCCATCATTGCCACCAAGGAACTGGGGCTGGCTCATTACCTCATGTTCTAGACCTGTAGTCTGAGATGTTAAAACGTCCAGAGTTGGGGCTCTGAACCCCTGGGCAGCACTGCCTCCTGTGGAAAGTGTACTGTGCTCTCCGTCCTCATCCCTTCCTTTCTTTAAGGTACCTGGTGACCTGCTACATGGCTCTGAGAGCCAAAGTGAAGACACGTTAGTGACTGCCGTCTTTGGACTGACTCTCTGGTGACCTGCTTTGTCATATTGTGCACAGTGTTTGTTTGACCAGAGGCTGTCTGGCTCCATATAAAGTAAATAGGCATGTGTGGTGTCTGTCACCGTAGCTCCCTGCTCTCAGGGCCTGGCTTGTTCTGCGGCTGTAGCTCCTGCCACCTTTTTAAGGACAAATTTGACAAAACCCTCAAGGAAGGTGGCAGTATTCTCGAGATACTTCCCACATGGGGTGCAGGGCAAGGTCTCAGAGCCCTGGGCAAACAGCTGTACAATGTGTGTCAGGAGGCCCCAGAGCTTCTTCCAGGGGACTCTTTGAGCCTGGCCCTTCGTGGGCTGTGCCCTGACTTTGGGCCACCCCACTGCCAGGCTCCCTGAGCTCTCCATTCTGTGGCCCTTCCCAACAGGGTTTGTAGAGAAATTCTTCCAAATTAAGGGTCTTTCTTTGTCCATTAACAATTTTAGGTTTTGAATGGGGACAAGTCCTATCGAAGTCAGAAAGAAAATAGTCTTCTGAGAGTAGGCCCCCTTAACACTGCTGAGGGATTTTTTTTTTTTTAAGAGACAGGTCTGGTGAGCCACTCAAAGTCCATGGTGGTGGGGTCTCGGGCAGTACAGCTATGAGGTAGCTCAGGAAATGCATATTCAGCCAAGGGCTCTTGACAGGTCGGTGCCTAACATTTCTTGGCCTCACATGGTCCTGGAAAGCACTTTTAGGGATAGTAGATTTTTGAATAATAACATGTCACATCTTCCCCTCTATCTCTTCAAGAATCAGTGTAAAATAGAATTTTCAGGCAAACTAAACCAGAGGGAATTTGTCATCAGGCATCTTGCCCCCCATGAAGATGACTTTCCAAGAGTAGGCATGTGACCCTAGAGAAAAAGCTACAGGGATAAGAATGAACAAAGAACAATGAAATGACAAACACATGCATGATTTTAAATGATCAGTGGTCACACAAGACACTACTAACACTGTGCTTTTGTACATTACAAAAGATTCTGCAAGGGATCCTGCACACAGAAAGTGACACCCAACTTAACCATGAAAAGGCAGGCAGCACCAAACCACAGGATAAGAAAAAGCAAGACAGTAGAGAGTAACATCAAGTTAGGTACACACAATCAAACCTTCAAACAACTAAGATAACTAAATGGCAGGAATCACCACATACCTATCAGTACTAACACTTAATGTCAATGGACTTAATTCACCCATCAAAAGACACCGTTTGACAAATGGATTAAAAAAAGATCCAACAATTTGTTGCTTACAGGAGACTCATCTCACCGACAGAAATAAGCATATGCTTAGGATGAAAGGCTGGAAGAAGATTTACCAAGCTAATGGCCCCCGAAAACAAGCAGGAGTAGCAATACTTATCTCTGACAAAGTAGACTTCAAACCTACATTGATCAAACGAGATAAAGAAGGACATTCCATACTAATAAAAGGGGAAATAGACCAAAAGGAAATAATAATCATCAACTGTACGCACCCAATGTCAACGCACCCAATTTCATCAAACATACCCTGAAAGACCTAAAAGCATATATAAACGCCAACACAGTGGTTGTGGGAGACTTTAACACCCATTATCATCAATAGATAGGTCATCCAAACAAAAACTCAATAAAGAAATCCAAGATCTAAAATATGCAATAGATCAAATGGACCTAGTAGATGTCTACAGAACATTTCATCCAACCTCTACACAATATACATTCTTCTCAGCAGCCCATGGAACCTTCTCCAAAATAGATCATATCCTAGGGCACAAAGCAAGCCTCAGCAAATATAAGAAAATAGAAATAATACCGTGCATACTATCTGACCACAATGCAGTAAAAGTAGAACTCAACAACAAAAGTAAAGACAAAAAACATGCAAACAGCTGGAAACTAAATAACTCATTACTTAATGAAGAATGGATCATCGATGCAATAAAAGAGGAAATTAAAAAGTTCCTGGAAGTCAATGAAAATGAAAACACAACCTACCGGAACCTATGGGACACAGCTAAGGCAGTCCTGAGAGGAAAGTTTATAGCCATGAGTGCATATATTAAAAAGATTGAAAGATCCCAAATCAATGACCTAATGATACATCTCAAACTCCTAGAAAAACAAGAACAAGCAAATCCCAAAACAAATAGAAGGAGAGAAATAATAAAAATAGAGCTGAAATCAACGAAATAGAAACCAAAAAAACCATACAAAGAATTAATGAAACAAAAAGTTGGTTCTTTGAAAAAATAAACAAGATCGATAGACCCCTGGCAAACCTGACTAAAATGAGGAGAGAAAAAACCCAAATTAGTAGAATCAGGAATGCAAAAGGGGAGATAACAACAAACACCATGGAAGTCCAGGAAATCATCAGAGACTACTTTGAGAACCTATATTCAAATAAATTTGAAAATCTAAAAGAAATGGACAGATTTCTAGATACATATGATCATCCAAAACTGAACCAAGAGGAAATTAATCACCTGAATAGACCTATAACACAAAATGAAATTGAAGCAGCAATCAAGAGTCTCCCCAAAAAGAAAAGTCCAGGACCTGATGGATTCTCTGCTGAATTCTATCAGACCTTTAAAGAAGAACTGATACCAACCCTCCTTAAACTGTTCCATGAAATAGAAAGGGAAGGAAAACTGCCAAACACATTTTATGAAGCCAGTATTACACTTATCCCAAAACCAGGCAAAGACACCTCCAAAAAGGAGAACTATAGGCCAATCTCCTTAATGAACATTGATGCAAAAATCCTCAACAAAATAATGGCAAACCGAATTCAGCAACACATCAAAAAGATTATTCACCACGACCAAGTAGGCTTCATCCCAGGGATG